ACTTTGACGGTGTGGACGATACCCTCGTTCCAGAAGCCACGTTCGCGGCCAGTTTCGCGGCCCGCGTCGCCTGGCCCGCAGACCCGCGAACGCTCCGCGGACGCGCGTCCGGGCCCATTGCGATCTTCAGCAGCCTTCGCGCCTCCAAAGCCTAACACTGCTGTGCCGCCTTCTCGGCCGGTCCCTCCGCATCTCGAACCTGCACTGCGATTCCGCGAAACGGTAGCGGCCGGGGACCGCGAACGGTCCGTACACGACGCCACTATCCGCACCACAGAGAACCAGGTGCCCGAGCAGCCGCGACCGCAGGAGCGCCCAGGGACCCCGTACCGCGCACCGGCGGATCAAGGTGTGCCACTGCTACCGGAGCACCCCTTCGCGAAAGCGCGCGATGCGACTTACGCGCCTCCGAATGTGCGCGCCTTTGGAGCGCCACCTGCGAAACCGAAGGAACAAGAGCGCAACGGTGCCTTTCGCACCATCGCACCGGTCTATCAACCCGGGCTCGCTGCCGCAGTCTTTGAGCGTATGATGAAGACTCCCGTGATCACGTCTCGACGGAGGAGCTGCTCTCGCTGGCACCGGAGGTCCGCGCGAAGTTCCGCGAAGCGGTCACCCCACGACGAGTCCCACCCACAGGGCAGCGAACTGTCGCGTTCGCCAGCGTTGGAGGGGCTCAGGGAGCGGCCGAAACGGAGCAGGAGGAACTCTCGTGTTTTGGGACGCCGTTAGAGCCTGGTGGCTTCGTTCTCCCCGACCTTTATGACGTCTACCTCCGCGATGTAGCGCCATCTGGAGAGAGTCCCCCGCTGAAGAACGCGAAGGAGTCGCACGTGTTACGGTCGATTGTCGGCCTCGTCGATACCAAGGAGTACGTGGAAGCAATCGTCGACCCTGGCTGTATGATCGTCGCGATGTCAGAGCACGTGTGTCACCACCTCGGACTATCGTACGACCCCACCATACGGCTGAACATGCAGTCCGCGAACGGGGAGGTCGAGAAATCGCTCGAACTGGTGCGGAACATGCCGTTCAAGGTCTCGACAATTGTCCTTTACCTGCAGGTCCACGTCGTTCGCAATGCGGCATACGACATGCTGCTTGGAAGGCCCTTCGACGTTCTAACCAAGAGCGTCATCAAGAACTTTGACAACGAAGACCAGACCATCACTATCGAATGCCCCAACACCGGACAAATTGCGACGATCCCCACCATTCCGCGGGGACGTGCTCGTTTTCGAGCCCGTCCTAACCCCGAGCCTGTCCGACCCGAGCCTACCATTTGAAGATGGTAGCGAAGAAGTCGCCGTCATCATCGAGATGGACGGCGGTGTTCCGCGCATCTGCGCCTATACCCAAGTCTCCGATCCCTCTGTACCTATACCTGCGCTCTATCTCTCTGCCTGCGACCGACTCCCGAACCTTACAAAAGCGTTCGTTCACGCATCAAACCCACAAAGCGAACCGTCCGATAGCCTGTCTCCCCTGTCTCCTCTGTTGCCTCGAGACGTTCGCCCCGGCCCTTCCGCGCACGAAGCGCCGAGGGCGAACATCTTCTCTACCACGGTTCAACCCGGCGGCGCCGATACCCCGTATTCCTCACGACCTGCGCCATCTACACTAGACTCTAGCGGTGTGTTCGCGTTCTCCTATAGAACGGACAAGGGCTCCCGCGTCGTATACCCCCGTTCCGCAGCAGGCACTTCGCCGGCAGTAGCGCGCGAAACCACCGCGCAAACGGCGTCCCAGACGAGCGCGGAACCTGATGCAGCGGCGGATACTCCGACTGTCGATGGGCTTGCAAGTGCCTATATCCAGTCCAAGAAGAAGTACAAGCCCGTCGCGCAGAAGGTGCGTGCAGTCCTCGGGACGTGCCCGGAGAAGTTCCGCATAGAACGCCACATCACGGGGGACCCTCTCGCTACGATGCCGAAGCTCTCGCCAACACCCCCACCATTCGTACCAACTGGTCGCTACACACAGGAGCGTAAGGAGGCCTTCGACAAGGCTCACGGCGACGACTTCCTGTGGGCGGAGGAGAAGAAG